AAGTAGAGTTTTTTTAAAAAAATTTTTTATTCTGAAAGATGCTACGAATGCAGAAAATGCGTCATCATGAGCGGCACAAAGTGGCTGGGGCTCTCATTCGAAATCTAGCAATATCTTCGAAACCAACTAGGTCGGTCGGGCGATTTCCATAGCCCTCGAAGCGCTAACACGGACAACGCATCGAGCATGCAACAAGACTGCCTACCTCGAATCTTTGTGTCGCCATGCCGATAATAGTAGACGAGAAGACGACGCTGTCTGTCAAAGCAAAACCAACGCCTTCGCCATACGTGCCAACGCAGAATGTCTCCATCAACCCCGCCTCCACCTCCGCCTCCGCTCCCTGGGGACTCTTTGCTTCTGGGTCGGGAAGTACCAGTTTCCGTGGGTGTCGGGGGTGCCGCCTCTGCAATTGTCATGCCAATCTCAGCCCCGGAACGAGTCTGACCGACCGTTTGACCCTTATTCCTGGCTTCGCAGACCAAGTCAACAGCCTCATTTGTTACCTCACCACTGCAGATTGAGTGCTCCGCTTCTGTCGAGTAGGACTGCGCCGAAGCCGCGGGCTCCAGGTCCCTGTCGAGCGGTTTGCCGCCGACGGATTCATCGTCTCTTGGCTCGCCAAGTGGAGTGTGAAGAGACGGCTTCTCATCACATGTGGATGCAGCATTTACTTGTGTCGACACACCAACATGTAATCTCCTTGCTTTGACATCTTCTCGTGTGCCTTTGCGAGTTTTCCTAATGCTCAGCGAAACCGGTGTCGGCGGTCCAATGCTCATGTGGGTCAACATGGCGGCATTGCCCGTCTCCCCGGCTTGCTTTTGCGTCTGACGTCCAGCCTTCGAGGCCGGCGAGTGAAGGCTCGGAGACGAAGACGTCGTAGGTGATGGTGGTGGAGCCGACTGGAAAAACCATGTCGGGCTAACACATGCGACTAGCGACAATCCTGCTGAATTGCCGGAACTCGCATTTTGGACAGACGAGGGCCTCGAATCACTCGAGAAGATCGGCGTTCTTCGGTTGCTATGAGGTCGCGATAACTTCCAAAGGTAGCCGGCACAAGTAGATCGCGTGAGAAGCACACGGGTCTCCAAAAGACCAGACAAAACTTTGTTTGTAAGCTGCGTGGGTTAATAAGAGAGAGGTAAGGTGGAAAATAAATTTGCTAAATGATACTGATTTATTCGAAGTTTTGAAAAATGTTACGTCAGAATGAGACTAGGTATAATAGGGCGTGAGAACGAGAGTGTGGAAGCTAATGAAAAGTTGATGTAAAGATGAAGAAGAACTCATAACTGTTCATGAAGCTTCTCGTCCTCGAATATAAGGATGAACAGACAGACCAGAAAGAATAAATAATGAATATAGGCATTATGCAAACTCAAGAAATATATAAGAATATTATTAGTATCGCAGAGGTTATATGACGGATGATGAACATATGAAATTAGCAGTCAAACAACACCACTTCTCTGTGTGTTATGGTTCAACTTCGCTTCTAACTTCGGCTCTTTCCCGTGTTTCTTGACGAAACTTGGATCCAGGACAATGACGTCTAGTCGCAGATTTATCTTTACTCACCACGCAGCTCTGGAACCAGTGGATTAGGGAGTTTGGAGCAAACCAGAAGTATATGAACTAATAGGGGGTCTTTTGCAAGTTTGCAGTCTGCCCTAGCTGTAAAGTTTGACTGCATTTTTGCAACTTGGTTAGAACGTCAGGGAGACCTTGTGAGACGTATCTAGTCCTGCGTCCTCTGCCAGAGTAGTCGTGATCTGTCGTGTTTCTTACCTTCAATTTCCTATCCCCACTCCCAGAGGTGGATAAACACCGGCAACTTCAGACGGATTCCAGATTTGACTCCTTTCACTACAATCGCCTTATATTGACTTCTCTTTGTCCCTAACTTCCTCTTATTGGCCAGGTCCTTGGTCCAGGCGTCTTCATTTTGCTGTCCTCGCTGAAGCTCCAAGACTGCTTAGGCAATACGCGAAATCATCGCTAACGTTTTCCTTTTACAATCTCCAGTTCATAAGGTTCTTTTAAAAGAGGAGGTCCACGGTCATTCTTATATTTCCTGTACTCGTGTTATCCCCACCTGAGGCCACTCTTTCCGTAGCACTGCAGTCAATTGTGTGGCCAAAATGACATGACTCTCTATTTCAAAGGGAAAGTTGGTAGGAAGAAATTCGTTGTGATCACACCAGAAACCGAAGAAGGAAGGTCCCGTAAGAAAGACTGTTGAATTGTGCGAACAAGTCCTCGACTCAAGAGCAAGTATTAAATCGCAGAAAGAGACATCGCAAAGAAGAGGAGCATTGGAGACAAAGGAAAGTCAAGAAAAGGAGATTGCAATGAGAAGAGTCAAACTTGGAATCGGCCTAAAAATGTACCAGTGTGGGTCCACCTGTGGGATGGGGGAAATGAAATCAAAGGCCAGAAACATGCAGCTTATACGCGATTGGACACCATTAGACTGAAATCATAGGTACCTATCAAATTAGTCATGATGTGGGTACCTACCTGGAGTGCTCAATATCAGTTGGTCCCCATTGTGCTTGTGTGTGTGTGTGGACTCATGAAGATTTTTCGTGTGTGTGTCTTAATGAAGGCAACTGATGACATGCCTGACCAAAAAGGAGGGGATACCAACCAACGTGCACATGAGCAGCTAAATAGTAACCTAGGCTAGATTGGACCGTCAACTTGAGAGACAAGAGGAGTGTGGTCTATGGGAGGCGTAGCCGTTTCACACCAGCGGTTCCTAATTAAGCCGGATACAGGGCCCCAAAGAATGCAATGTAGGTGGGAATGAGAAAAAGGATAAATGTGTGATGGTTCCGAAGCCTAAGGAGAGGATGATACCTTTGCAGCCAGATTTAAGACGGTGAGACAGTGATTTTTATGAGATGTATTCACCCTGTTTCGTTGTAGGTGATAAAGAAAATTCACATCGGCCCTGTGACCCAAGGGTACTCGTGACAATGTTACCGATTGGTTAACGTGTCAAGCTCACATTCTGTACTGTCACGGTTCGAATCCCACTGGGGGTGTTGATAAGGCCGATGCGAGATCGAAACTTCAGTTCACTAAAGCCTGGATGAGAACAACCTTTTGGAAAGCAAGACTATGTGAAATTCAATGGAAACCTCAGCTGTACTCATATCATTGTGGGAAAATTTGACTTCCAGTTCTTCATCACCTTAAACGAAATAGGGTGAATACCTATCATATTGAAGCATTATGATTATGATTATTATCATCCTCATCATCATCATCATCATAATCAAAATTAGGTCTTTTTTCATGGCCTGTAGAGTAGTCTGTATAAATAGACTTGGTGGGGATGATTATGCCTCACTAAATCCGCTTGTTGCGAAACACATTTAGGCGACATTCGAGGAAACTATGCCAAAGAATTGTGTGAATGGGCGAATGGGCAATATGAAGTGGGTTCGACCTGGTTTTCGCAACTTGGTCAGAGCGCCAGGAAGACCTTGTGTGATGTACCAAGTCCCGTCTCCTCTGCCATAGTATCCGTGATTTCCAGCAATGGACCATTGGGAATGCACCAAACCAATGGTCCAATGCTGGAAATCACGAATACTAGGGCAGAGGACACGGGACTAGATACGTTCTACAATGTTTTGCAAACGCTCTTAACAAGTTGCGAAAACGGGGCTAAACCGACACAATAAAAAATAATTTAGCAACAATTTCTTTTGGTTGTAGATACTTTTTCTGATCTGGTTGCTTCAAAAGGCTCGTATCCCATACCGTAGACTCGCGCATGCTATTCATGATTGCATACTGCAGGGAATATTTGACGTGTAATTTTCCAAAATTCTTTTCAACAACCTCAGACCAGCGATAGTCCGTAATTGTTTAATGATGACATTCATCTAAGAATGTCTTCATCACACACTTCTACATGAAATAAAATTAGGCTAATTCATAATATATCATAATTTATTTAAAAAATCGGTCTTTTTCAATATGGACTGGAAATGACTTTGACATGAACTAAAACTTTCAGTGAAAGTGGACAGCACAGTCAACGCTTCAAATGCAGGTTAGCATTCGATTAGACTTAAACGAATTTTTCTTTAGTATATAAATGAAATTCGGCATTAACCATACATCTTAGATATAAAAACGATTGACCTCGCGTCTAGCCATCAGAACAGTAATGAGGAAATTTGCAACGCTTGACCGCGTCAGGGAGAAAGAGCAAAAGGATGAAGGCAACAGCCTTGATGAGACCTTGAGAAAGTGAAGAAGAGTTTCAATCCTCCAAGCGAGTATTATATTACTCCAGGTATAGAAGCACAAATGTAGATGATTGAGTTTGAGAAAGCTCA